AAGATAATCATTTATTTTGAAGAACACGTGTGATTGCAAAACAAAAGAATTTTTCGGCATAAAAACAAATTTGGGAATGACAAAAAAGGATATTAACCCCAAATTGGTTCAATATTTCTATGTGATACTGCTTTTGTGCCAAGCAATATTCCTTTTTTAATTATCTAATATTTTAATTAGATTTTGTCTGTATCACAAATAGAACTCGAATCGTGTAAAAATCATTTTAAATACCTGGTCGCACCGGATTTACACAAAATGGAATTGTATAAAAAACAAATTGATTGAAAAATGTATTTCATTTGTTTTGTGGAATTCGTGTAACCCTTTCTATCTGAGAAGCCAACCGTTCGGGAACAAAATGAGATTCGCCACAATTCTATTGTTTTCGGCAGTTATGATCGCCGTTGTTTATTCTCAACCAGTTGAAAAAATAGAAGCTGAATCTTTGGCAGGTGTCGATGTCGATTTGGCTGTAGACGCTGATGCAAGAGCGATACGCAAGGCTCGTGGCCACCACGGACATGGGCACCATCCAGGTGGTCACGGTGGACATGGTGGATATCCTGGTGGATATGGCGGCGGATATCCTGGAGGATATGGCGGCGGATATCCTGGAGGGTATGGAGGTGGTTATCCTGGAGGTTATGGTGGTGGAAATAGTGGCAGTATTGCTTTTGCGTTATCTGGAACTCTTTCTGGTGCAAACTTTGGATAAACATTTCGAAGTACAAGATATTAAAACAATTATCTACATTAAGTGTGCTTTCTTTTGATATTTATATGAACCGAAGTTTATTATTGAACAGATAGAAAGGAGGTTATGGACTTTTGACCCATATAAAGTCGTATTTGGATACATTTTCGTATGGCCTACACACAAATGTGTCAAACTTCGTAAAATTAAAGGGTCCACAATCTAACATTTTTTCAACTAGCGCTTATTTTGGGAGTGGTAATACTTAGATCATATCTGATTTAAAAGACAATTCGTTCTGCTAAACGAATATGGTCTGTATATACGCTCGAACAACGCTGGGAAATATTCCGACATTTTATGACAAATCATTTTGTGAAAATTGTTGATTGTTGTTCCTACGATTACGTTGATTGATGTCGGCGTTTAGAAAGTCGACGATTTGAAGGTAATCTGGAACTTTGATGAATATTCGTCAAGCTGACGAGTGGTAGATATTCAGGATTTATGATGTAGGTGGTTGATATGTTGGTGTCCAGATCTTTTGAGACAGGTTGGGGATTCGTATATATAATCGTTCTAGGAGTACAGTTCACTGTAGAGATATTTAATATGTCCAGGTTATCTTAGGTTGTTCGGGTTCGGCAGCCCACAATTGGTATATCCGGGAGTAGCTGTCTGGCGTTCTAAGGTGGGTAGTGATTTGTTCGGGGTTGGGCAGCTCATTGTGCGAATGTTCGGTCTTAGCCGTTTGGGTCATCTGAAATGGCTAGAAAACTGTTTGAGCTGCCGTCCAACTTAATGAGAGCCTGTTCAAAAACTAGTTCGGAGGACAGAAAGCGATTTAGAAAATCACTAACAACACTTTAGCCCCCAGCAGTAGCATGCCTGTTTAATCGTAAACCAAACTGAACGCGATATATGAAAGGCATTATCAAGTGAATGAGAATCATTTGCCTGTGCGTAATCGGTAACGGGATCAACAAATGCTGGGATACCCAATCCTTTTTCCAGATACTGGGATATATAATCCTTTTACCTTTACCTAATCCTTTTTCCCAGACTATAATTTTCGTCTGGGTACTAATGTTCTTAATACATCCATTACATAGATAAACAAGTAAAAAAGCATTAAGTTCGACCTGGCCGAACTTTTAATTTCCCCCACCATTGGGTAAAGGAACAATTTTTATATAAAAGTATCTGAATTGAAAACTGTTTCACTTTAAACTGCAAATAGCAGTAAGACAGCTTAGATATAGATGTTCAACTTTTCAAAAAACCATAAAGTTGGTAGGGTCGTTGTATGGGGGCCATATCAAAACGGGATCCTCCACAGACAATTGTATACTTTAAGGATTGTCATCTACTACATTTTCTTAAATACCCAATTCAAAATAATTTCGTGGGTAAAAGTGACTGGCATTATCAAAATACCGAGTATCGTTATAGGGTAAGTGTGCCTAAGTTCGGCATGTCCCAGTAGTCGGCAGTTTTGAAATTTAAAATTAAATAACTAAGAATAGAATTGACCAAATAATGAAATAATTGCAAAAAAAAAACGTCGTCAGTGTAATCGGCAGGGGGTGCCGATTACTAGAAATATATCATTTTTGACCAATTTCACCAAAACTTGAGAAAAGTACTAAAAAATAATCCAAAAACTACTCAAATAAAAAAATAGTTTTGAGTCGGCAGTTGGTTTTATTTGTGCTTTTTGACCAACTTTTCTAAATTAAGTAGGTTTTTTAAATCAACTATTTGACATTTTAGATAGCGGTGGCATTTTTGAACAAAAATGTTGGATATCTAAAGGAAAAAGATCAATTCACAAATTCCAAATATAAGATATTTTAATTGTAAATTCATACGTTAGTGAAGGTAATGATAATTAAATAAAACACTATTTAAAATCTAAATTAATTTCAAATTCAGGATTAATCTGTGAACTTGTAATATATAGCATTGTTTTATACTATTTGAAAGAAAAAAATAAACAAAATAATATTTTTTTTACTAAAATACCATATGCCGACTACTGGCAAATAGCCATGCCGAGCATTGGAAAATGGTGCCGACTACTGGGAACAACTACTATTTTAGTAAAATTGTAAATTTTGCCAATTTAATAAAAACAAATTCAATTTTTGTTTATTATTTCGAAAAGTAAACAAAATTTGGATTCTGGGTAACTTTTTTTTTTAGCAATTGAAAGATTTCACTCAGAATGTTGAAAGATTGAAAAATCGAAAATCCTAAAAGTGCCGACTACTGGTACACTTACCCTATGTGTGCTATAGGAAAACGTGAACCTAAATTTTCAATGTTCTGCCACCGGAGCTTGAACCCACTATGAACTACAAATACCTCGTAGAAAATTGAGGCAAAAATCATCAAAATATCGAAAATTGGGAGACACTTTTATATGGGGCTATACGGAAACGTGGAGCTATACATACAATGTTCCGCCACCGAAGCTAGAACCCATTACGAACTACAAATACCTCATTTTAGACAGATCCGTGGAAAAATATGCCAAAAATAATCAAAGTATGGAATGCCTCGGGCAACTGAACAACGATTAAGAAAAAAATATAACGTCGTTACTTAAGTTTGCAAATAATTTTTTGTGCTTTGTCACAATTCAATTGCTTATGCTCTAAACTCTTAAGCGAAACTTAATGAGCTTAAATACAATTGCAACCAATTGACATTTAGTCTGGATTAAGTCAACGTCGTGCTATTCACAAAATATCTAAAATGTTAGGTATTTGGATTGATAGTTAAGAACCTAATTGAAACAACACGAATTAGCACTTTAGATCTACGGTAGCGGTAAGTAGTTCTGCTAAAATGCACATGGATGGAATCATATCGGCATTGGAAAGTAATTGAGTTTTTAACTGAAATACATTAAGTGGTCAACGAGTTAGTGTCCAGAACCGACAAAATTTATATTCTTATGAAAACGATTGAATGAAAATCTTAAAATAAGTTTCAAAGACAAGAGCTGCTAGAGATGCTATGTACTATGGTTGTATATGATATAACCAGCAAGGTAATTTAACTTCATAGGAACTGGGGAAAAATAAGTATTAACTGGTTTTATTTATTTTAAAATTTTTTTGAAGGGAATTTTTTCCAAAATTGCAAAATATATTGTCCATTAACGTCGAAAATATGAATATTTAATGCAACTGAATTTGACCTTTGACTTTTCCTTAATGGGTTTCTTTTGACACAATCCCTAAAACATTAAATTGTTAGAAGATTTTGGTTTAGTTTTAAAATTGACAGTCAAAATTAAAAAAAAATATATATATTAATTTCTGCATAACAAATCATTTCTAATTCATTTTTCCTAAAACTCGTATGTCTAAATATTTTGTTTATTCTGAGACTTAAAGAGATATTTTGTTTGAAACATTTCTTTTTTGGAACTGTGTGTGAAACGTGAAACAAGTGAAAAAGCAGTAAAAAGCCGGGACGAACTTTTTCAAAACATTTTAATTTTTCGAAAAAAAAAAAAAAAATCCGTTGAAAAATACTGCTAAAATCGCAAAAATACCGAATATAGGGAGTTACGAGTACGTGGGCCTGTATATGCAATTTTTGTCATAGGCCGTTACGGTATTCAAATAAGAAACTTGAAACAATTCCGATGAAAAAATATCGCAAATTCATCAAAATACCGAAAATAAGGAGGAACCGTTACCTGGAGGCTATATTATACCTGAATATTTAATTTTCTGTCATAGGATTTAGTACCCATTAGAATTTCAAAGTCCAAATTTCAAACATCTCCGGTGAAAAGTCTAGCATAAATCATCAAAATACCGCATGTCTGGGAGTACAGATTATGGGGTATACCAAAACTTGTACCTATATGCACAGTTCTCCCCAAGGATGTTTATACATACTGGGACTACAAATTTGCAGCAAATTCGGTTTGAAATTGTGACTAAAACACACAAAAAAACTTTAAATCTGCCGGTACAGTTATATGGGGCCTATAGTTAAACGTTGACCTATATAGCCAATTTTCAATAGCAAAAGTCCTGCAGATCTGAAACACATCTGAGTAAAATGTTATTCATTTATTTCAATCAGAAGCTGGTGACATTTTCACAGACGGACGGATAGTTAGACGGACTGAAATCGACATAGAATATTTTTTTTCTGATGTAGAAGGTATGCACTTTGTGGGGTCTAAAATGAGTATTTCGATGAAAAACTTAATATACACTCCATACTATGGTGGACGTTAACAAAACAAAAACTCGAAACATTATAAACAAAGCAGTCGTGTTGCCAAAAATATTCTGAATATTCCAAATAATTATTTTTATTTTTCGAATTCTTTATTTACGTTACAATCTTCTTGTTTGTTTTGAATACATCTGAATCTGTCCTATACTATCGAGAACATACCTCCCTACAAATTTAACCAGATAAACAAATCGAAATCAGAACGCCGTACCGTCACGCGAGCTGTTGGATTCAGCGAATATGATCTGCCAAATATTGGAATCCTGAGTGGGAAATAAGAGCATTCGAACTTGACAGATTGGACCTTAATATGGAAAGGGTAAGTCCATCAAATTTTTAATAATGCTGGAATTTCTCTATCAATATATACACGCATATTTTAAATGACTCTAATTTAAAATTTTTTTCCAAATCTCCCAAAATCTGACTCATTCTGTATATTCATTCAATTTGGTTCGGAGTGACTGCTTCAAAATAATAAAAAATATTTTTTTCTACAACTTTCACTCAACAGTGGTTCGTTTCATGCTACGCGTCCTTCTAATAAATCTGGACACATTTTCTTTTACTTACAATGAAATAAAAATAAATGGCATTTTTTAAAGTTGCATGTAAGGCTGGGATGGGGCATCAGACTACAGTCTATTATTACTGGTTTGCGTCGAGTTCTTAGGAAAATATAGGGCTTGTTATATATTTGCGGATTTAGAGAAACCTCAAATTGTAATTTCCATGACATATTTGGAAAATATTTAGAGAAGTTTTGATTTTACTCCATAACTTCAAATGTGAGAAATCATCCAAACTCTGATAAACATTTAACGATTTAATAAATATTTCAACATTATCTACGATTTATTTAAGAAGGATAAAACAACAATTTAATTTTCATACAATAAAATTTATTGTAGCAAAAATGCAACTTTTAAAACAAAATTATTATTATATGATAAATGAAAATATATTTTGCCTCTGGATGCAATGGAATAAATTTGAATAATAAATAAATTTTACTGATTGATATTCACGTTTAGCGCCGTTGGATCAGTGCAAGTACTTGACATAATTAAAGTAATCAGTATTTTTTCAAAATATTTCGATATCATATAAGGATTAATAGTATGTATCTATTTAATAATATTAAAAATTAAATTTCTTAAACACTCATGGGTACCCCTAATCTCAATAATATTCAATATATCCCTAAAAGTATGCCATGACATTTTTCTTTTATCAGCGATTATGAGGAACATTAACATCATTCAAAAATGATATGCAGAAAAATTAAGAAATAATATTGATTATAATAAAATACTTATAAATAATACATATAACAACCAAAAAATAAAATAAATAAATAACTTAATAAATAAGTTTCAACAATGATTTGTCTGTAATTTTATATTTTATCTTTAATATATGTTCTTTATTCAATTACATAAAAGGCGTCATTATGAATTCATTAGATATTTCAAAGACGAGGTTATTAGGCTAATGAACCCGTGTTTTTAAATTAAACATAATTCATATAATTAAATCACTTGAGCATGCTTCATGTTCCAAATATACGTTGTTTTGCTGGTTAATTATCTAAAAGTTTTTTTCCAACAATTGCAGTTATCATGTCTAAGACAAGTTAAAAACACTAAACGCTAAAGTCGTCACACAACAAATTATTCGAGATCAAAGCAAAATCAGAGAATTTTTTTTTTATTTGTAGACTATCACTCCTTAATAATTAAACGTTTTTTTTTTTTTTTTTTAATTTGAATGCAAAATAAACATAAATTCGGAGATTGGTTAAAAATTTAGTTAAAGTTTTGAAATACATTAAAGTGGATGGAACCGTTTGATGGGTGCAGTACAAAAGCCAGAACAATTTTTCACAACAATATTGATATCTAATGCTAGTTTTAAAATTTCCGGTACCATTGTATGGGGCCATAGTTAAATGTGGACCTATAAAGACGATGTTCAGGCACCAAAAGTAGTACCCTTTACAAATTGTTAATACCAAATTTGAGACAAACGCGTTGAAAAATGTGGCAAAAATAATCCAACTACCGAATATCTGGAGGTAACGTAACATGAATGCTATAAAAAAACTTGCATCTATTTAAACAATGTTCTACCATCGGATCTAAAACTACAAAAACCACATATTAGACAAATTGGTTAGAAATTGTGGCTTCAATTGTCAAAATACCGAATGTCCCAAGATACCGTTATATGGGTACTATAGTAAAACCTGGACCTATGCAGACTGTATTTAGCTACCAGAGTTAAAACCCGTTATAAACTCTTGTTACCAAATTTGGAACAATTCCGGGGAAAATGGGACTAAAGTCATCAAAAGACATAATATCGGGAGGAACCGTTATATGGGGGCTATACGAAAACGTAGTCCGATATAACTCATTTTCATTACCAACTGTCCTAGACTTTTCCCAAGATATGTAGTGTAATTGTGTGACGAGTTATTTTGCAGTTAAAAATGTAGCTAGGTTTTTAAAATACATAAAATCTATTGGGACCTAACTCTTTATGAAACCATTCCAAAACTTAGACCTATTAAAAAAAATGTTTGTCGAAAATTTTCCGCAAGTTGAATTTTCATCCAATAAACAATTTAAAAAAACTTGGACTTCTAATGGTGAAAAACAGGTGGTACTGCTATGTGGGCGTAACACTGAAGAGTAAATCTACAGGTTGAGATGAAAAAACTGCAACCAACTTCAGACTGCTGTCATTTCTAAGCCACTCGCCCGACAGCTACTAAAATTATTCCAGTGACAGCTCATTATATTGTTTACATCCGTACAAAAGCATTTTGGTGAGAATTTTCCAGAAAAAAGTTATTCGTGATGGAATTCAAGTGTGATATTGTGATTTCTTCATATTTGGCTGGAAACCCACAAGTGGTTATCGTTAGAGCACTCCAGCATTTAAATCTGAATAAATCTGAGAGCTGAACATATCGCAATATTCCATCCGGCAATATTGAAATTCCAAAAAGTGCAAGAACTTACACCGAAACATAAAGAAAATTGACTCAAATGAGCTAAAGAGTTGCTTCGCTTGGTCGAAAGTGGTGAACTGCTGAAATTGGTTTTCTCTCCGATGAGAAAACATTCGTTGTCCAGCAGTGTGTAAACAAACAAAATGATCATGTTTACTTTCCAATGAAGTCAGCTGAAAAACGGTTGGTCACCAGAACTCAAGCGCCGGCCATGGTGATGGTGTGGGCCGCCATAACAGCCGATGGTCGCTCTCCGCTCGTAATAATCTCCCGTGGCATCAAAATAAATGCGGAATATTACCGCGAAAATTTTCTGGAGGGTGCATTAAAGCCTTGGTCATGCAAACATTTTGGGCGCAGACTTTGGACATTTCAACAGGACTCAGCACCATCGCACTCAGCACGCGCCACCCAAGAATGGTTACAAAATGAGGTCCCTTGCTTCATTTCCAGCGCACAATGGCCATCAAAATCACCGAATACCAATCCGTTGGACTATTGTGTCCGGAGTATTTTGGAAAGCAAGGTTGGCAATAAAAAATACCAAGCTGTCAATCACATCAAGCAAGCGCTTCGCCGGAAATGGGCCAAAATACCGCAGAGCAACATTCGGGCAGCGTGTGACGATTTCGTTGGCCGTTTCAAGGCCAAATACCGCAGAGCAACATTCGGGCAGCGTGTGACGGTTTCGTTGGTCGTTTCAAGGCCATAATTCGTGCCAATGGTGACCAATTCGAACCAATCTAATATTATCCTAAAATTTGATGCTTTTCCGACATTTTTACTTTGATTCAAAAAAGTTTAAAAACAAGTTAAAAAGCAGTAAGTTCGGCCGGGCCGAACTTTGAATACCCTCCACCATTTGGAACGAATTTGAAAATTTTCAAAAAATAAAATCCTTAAAAAATTCTGTTAAAATTTAAAAAAAACCGAATATAGCCATTATGTTGGGGTCTATAAGACGTGGACGTACATAGGCATTGTTTGTCATAAGTCATTACCATATTCAAATTCGAAACTGAAATAAACGGTGAATAATGTAGTTAAAATCATCAAAATATCGTATAAAGGGAGGTACCGTTATATCGGAACTGTGCGAAGTCCTGGACCAGCATAGAGAATTTTCTGTTACAGGCTGTAGCATCCATTACGAACTTTAAATACGATACCTCAAACAACTTCGGTGAGTTTTGTACCTAAACTCGTCAAAATACCGAATATAGGGAGGTACTGATATATGGGGCCTATACGAAGACCTGGACCTGCATAGACAATTTTCTGTCACAGATTGTAGTTCCCATTACGAACTTTAAATACCAAATTAGAAACAATTCCGAAGAATAATGTCGCTAAAATCATCAAAATACCGAATATAGGGAGGTACCGTTATATGGGGGCTATACGAAGACGGGGACCTGCACAGATAATTTTTTGTCTTAAGCTGTAGTATCCCTTTCGAACTTCAAATACCAAATTTGAAACAATTCCGGTGAATAATGTCGCTAAAAGCATCACAATACCGAATATCGCTATTTTGCATGATTACAACAGACAGACGGTCGCTAAATCGACTTTTTTACGCTGATCAAGAATATATATACTTTAATGGGCCTGACAAGAGTATTTCGAGGAGTTAAAAAGGGAATGACAAAGTTAATTTACCCTCCATAGTATTGTGGATGGTATAAAAAAATTAAAAATTATTGCGTTTGACTTTGTTGCAGTTTTTATCTCACCTGTATCGTTTTACCTTCGGTATTTTTACCATTTTAGCCTCACTTTCTCACGGAATAGTTTAAAATTCGGTATATAGAGCTCATAATATGTTCTACCTCCTGTAGCAGGAAATGCTTATATAGATCTACGTTTTCCTATAGCCCCCATATAATTGTACCTTCCCATATTCGGTATTTTGATGAATTTTGGCTCAATTTCTAGCGGAATAGCTTAAAAACTACATTTATAGTTCATATTGGATTCTATATCCAGTAGCAGAACACTGTCTACATAGATCCACATTTTCCCATAGCTTTGACGATTTACGCCACATTTTCTTAGGGAATTACTTCAAATTCAGTGTTTGGAATCCATAATGAGTTCTTCAGCTTATATTGAACAATTTCTTAACACCATACATAGTGTGGAGGGTATATTAAGTTCGTCATTCCGTCAAATTTTTCAATAAAATTGTTTGAAAATCCACATAAGGATTTCCTTGTGAGTACTTCATCCCCTGCAAGATTATTGCTTATATACGTCCACGACATCGTTTATCCCCAACATAACGGTACCTCCCTATATACAGTATTTTGTTGATTTTAGCAAAATTTTTCAATGGAATTGTCTTTAGAATCCATACTGGGAGTTCTTTCCAAGCACTTCCCTCCCTGGAAGAGAAATATCTATATGGGTTCAAGATATCGTATAGCCCACATATAACGGATTGGCGATTTTGGGGACGTTATTCAGCGAAATTGTTTGAAATTGTATACTTAGAATTCGTAATGAGTACTATAGCCTATGACAAAAAATTGCTTATGCAGGCCCACGTCTTCGTATAGCCTCTTTATAATGGTACATCCCAATATTCGGTATTTTCATAATTGTAGATACATCATTCACCGGAGTTGTTTCAAATTTCGTATTTAGAGTTCGTAATGGGAACTACGGTCTATGACAAAAAATTGTCTATGCAGGTCCAGGCCTTCGTATAGACCCCAATATAACGCCTATATTTGGTATTGTTTGGTTTTGGTATACCTATATTTATATTGTTCGTTCCAAGTGGTGGAGGGTATTCAAAGTGCGGCCCGGCCGAACATACTGCTTTTTTAAATGTTCATAGCTTATAACCCATATTCGGTAGTTTGATGATGCCAACATTTTTACAGAACTGTTTGATATTTGGATACTCCTTGAATACTGGAATTTCTGCAAGATAGAGTCCAAATTACTTGAAATTCGTCACAAAGGTTTTGAATTAAAAATGGGCTATATTGGTCCACGTTTTGGTATAGCCCCCATATAGCCGTTCCTCCAGATTTTCGGTATTTTGGAGGTTTCTCCCACAATTTCCAACCAAATCAGCTGAAACTTATGGGTTTTGGGGTCTGGTCTCTCTCTCTCTCGAAAAAAATATTCGATACTTGGTATAGCCCTAATATAACGGTACCTACCGACTTTCGGCATTTTGAAATTGTCTGTCAGAGTTTCCATCTAAAAATGGGTTTCGCTATTTGGGTTATTTTTTATTTTAATTAAAACGGATTTTCATTATTTAGTTTTGGGGTTTATATGAAGTCGTGGACCTACATGGCTCATTTTTTCACTTAGGATGTAGTATCCATTACGAACTTTAAATGCCAAATTTGAAACAATTCCGGTGAATAATGTAGCTAAAATCATCAAAATACCGAATATCGGGAGATAGCGTTATATGGGGCCTATATGATAACTTGGTCCTATATGGCCCATTTACGAACTTAACCTGACTACTGGCAAAATATATATATATGCAAAATTTTAGCCTTCTATCTCAATTTGTTCGAAAGATAGCGTGATTACAACAGACAGACAAACACACAGACAGACAGACGGACATGGATAAATCGTCTTAGAATTTTACGCTGATCAAGAATATATATACTGACATGAGTATTTCGAGGAGTTACAAACGGAATGACAAAATTAATATACCCTCCATAGTATGGTGGAGGGTATAAAAACAGAATTTTCCACTAAGCCGCGAATATTTTTAATACCAGCGAAACTCAAATACATTAAAAGGTCGCTTCCGACCATTACAGTGATGCTGATAGCCAAGATATCGGATATATGGCATAATAGTTAAAATCTATATTTAAAAGGAATTGAAGTTAATTCGGAACACTCTCTTTCCAGAAAAGGATAAAATCTAAGAAAATCGCGTAAAAATATGCCAATAAAAAAGAGAATATTTTTTGTTGCGTTTTTTTAATTTTTATCATATTTATTTGTTTTCAGGTTGCAATTATAGTCCGATCCTCACGAAATTAGAATCAGAATTAAAGCCATTAGTTATAGAGATGTACAATTAAGGGGTCAAATGGACCAAAACAACTGAAAAGAAATCGACACAGAATTTTGCATGAGGAGAGAGTAGAGTACAGGGAAAAAGTCTTGAATGACCATTGAATTAAATTTAGCTCTAAAATGGACCACAACTTTTGTTTAATATATTTCGAATACATAACAACACGTCGGAGTGCGTATATAAGGGTAACATCTAGGTAGGACTCTATGACATTATTTCAAAAACGAAATCTTCCAAAATAGATTTGGACATAAGGGCACTTCCAACATATTATTGTGTTGCTGGGTATAAAATGGTCGGCTCTACGACTATAGCCTTTGCTTACTTGTTAAAATTCTCTTTTTTAGGTCGGTGTCTTCAATTTTTATTATCATAAATTTCCTAGATACATTTATCAACTATTCAGTAAAAAAGCGTTTTTCTTCATCAGATACATCACATACAATTTTACTAACTTATAGAGGAATTATGTATTGATTACATTAAATTTTGTGCTTTCAATATCAAAAATCAAAATTTGCAATTGCAAATCTATTTTGTTTTTTATAAAACGCCGACTAACCCATTAATAGATCCAAACAAATGCCCGTTCATCAAATGACTAACAAAATATTGACAATTTTTGTTTCGAAACTACCCACTCACCTATGATGCGGAAGTAAACAAACAACTTCGCACGCCCCAGACATCATCGCGACATTTGGCCAAAAAGGGAAAATGAAAACAAAATTCAAAATAAAAATTTCAATGTCACTGTGTCAGTTGGTTGGAGATATGAAAATAAACCACGTTTTTATTTTGGCAGATTCACCGAACGTAGGAATTGAGAAAGAAAACAATAAACGAAGTGCAAAGAGAGACCAAAAGGTGTGGTTGCCTCTAATGCGAAAAAGATGACCGGCAAAATGAAAAACGAGTTAATGACGCGGTTTTGCGGTTGGATCACGGCTGAGCGACGCTTCTATTGTTCTGAACAAACGCAAAGGTAGTGACCGGCGAAAAATCCACCAGCATTTGAATTTCCATTTGTTTGCCAACCAGAAGTCGACGAAGTGATTCAATGACTATGAAGGTCTTCTGGGTTGACGTTTTTGGAAATTTTCAAGTTCAGTTGTTGTTCTAGAGTTCATTATTGCCAAAATCATGCAAACTATTAATCTATTTGCAAAAAATGGTGAATAGAATTTTGAGTTTGCCAAAAGTAGTTCATCGTTCCTACTTGAACGACGTGTCATCGGCAGTTCGGTAGAGTAAAAAAAACAACGAAGAAATAAATCAACTCCATCAATGAGAATGAAGGCTGTGGCGGTGTTTTACTATTTTACTTTGTTAATAGTTTTAGTTGTGGCTCAAAATCGCAACAGATCAGTTAGAAGACGAGCTGAAAATGTCAGTCAAGGATCCGAGGAACAAGGAAGAACTTTGGGACTTTTAAGACCTTTGTTAAATGTGGGTTCTTTGGGTGGTTTCGGTCTTGGCTTTGATCAGCCAATTTCTCCTTACAGACCATCCTATGTGAGACCTCAATCGTCACCGGTAAGACCACAATCGGATCCCTTCTATGGTGGAGGTTATGGAGGCAATCCCTATTACGGCTATGGTGGTTATGGTTATAGACCCAGTTATGGTGGATTCATACCACAATATGCTGGATACCCTTCATATGGATATGGTTACAGGCCGGCTGTATATCCAGGTGCAGGAAACTATGGTGGCGGCTATCCATCTTATAACCCACAACGTCCTGGAGTATCGCCTTCTCGCCCAGTTCCCGCAGTGGGTGGCAATGTTGGTGCGGCTGGTGGTACACCATCTCTTGCGGGCATAGATCCGGCTCAGGCTGCACAGATTGCCAATTTATTGGGACAACTTTTGGGTTCTCAACTTAGGCCACTGCTTGGTGCAGGTGCAGCCGGTAGACCTGGTGATGCCCCAAGTTCATTGGTAAAGAAATGAAAAAGATCGATAATTCAGAATTAGTTGTTAATTAATGAAAAGTATTATTTTTTCAAATGCATAGATTTAAGTTTACTTTTGAAATTAATCCGTTCTTGCCAATAAAATCCGGAAACTAATTATAATTGAATCACAAACAAAAATGTGTAGTTTTATTGGTATTTTTCTAAACTCTTTTTTTTTGATAAATAATTCGAAATGTCGAAAATATATACGCCAATTGATAACTGAGGAGAGTAGATTTTGCGGGGTTAATTTGTTGGACTGAAAGTTGCAGCTGAAAGCGAAAGCGAAGAAATGGATTTGTTGCTATTTGAAAATTTTAAATCTGAGTCACAGACGGAGGAAAGCGCTAGAAATGAAACCAGTTAGGAAAGGTCAAAAGTCGGGTGGGTCGACTATATGGCACCCTATGCTTATATTGTTTATTGGGAATATCATGCCACTTATGAACCAAATAACATTGCTGTATAGTGCATGATATGACTGAAAAAATCTATTGAATTTGGCCTGATATTACATATGTAGTGAGCAACAACCGTAAAATCGGATGAAAATGTATATCGAAGCTATACAAAAATCTGAAAATCTGAAAATCTCAATAGAATTTGGCAGAGGTATTTTCGAGCTGTATATGATGTCCGGTATCAAATATCATTTTTGCGGAGTGCATATTACGCGTGTTAGTGACTTAAAACCCCAATTCGGATAAAACATATATATGGGAGCTGTAGCTATATTTGAACCTATTTTCTCCAAATTTGATGTACTTACTTTTAGACTGAATTCGGTCGGATGTGCCACAATTCACTCCATTACATTCCAGTATTTTGACCTATGTTAGAACAAGTGCTCATATGAAATTTAACCGCTCATACTTCCTGGAACCCCACCCACAAGAGTTCAACATATTGAATAATTACTTTTTAACTTTGCAAATCAATGTCCGATTTCCTTCAAATTTTGAACATCTCTATAAAAGCTGAAATATTTCGCAAACAATATACATAAATCTCACATAAAATGAATCGGATATCCGTTATAGTCCAAACTTGGTCCGCGGTAATATATATATAGCACCTTTTCGTACCTTCCTCCCAAAAGGTATTTTGAATACCAACACTCTCATAAAATGTGATATTTATGATAGTTTTCTGCAAAGTTGCCACACTGCCTTTTTTCCGATTTTTAGTTATTTAGTTCGAAATTTATTTTAAATTATTGCAAATGTAAGCTAAACAAGTAAAAAAGCTGTAAGTTCGGCCTGGCCGAACTTCGTACAGGGTAAGTGTGCCTAAGTTCGGCATGTCCCAGTAGTCGGCACTTTTTATTTTTAAGCCCAAATTAATGAAACTATTATAACTAAATGCATTTTGTTTACTTCAAATATATTGCCAGCTATCTTTGTGTACAATTTCTCTAAGAAAAGATGATTTATTTTAATAAAAATTAAATTTTTGTCTGTGAAGGTCCTCAACAATCAATATTCTTAAGAATAGTACAATAAAGAAGTCGAATCAGTTTAACTAAACAAAAATATTATATTTTAATGAATTAATTTATTATTATTATTAATTTTTCTTAAAAAAAAATTGTATGCCGACTGTTGGAACATGCCATACCGCCAATTGGCAAGTGGTGCCGACTAATGGCAAAAAAAGCATTGTTTTAATAAAACTACAAATTTATGAAATTTTATAAAAAGTCATTAAAACTTTATTTATTATTGCAAAAACTATACACAATTTCGAATCTGAATAAATTAACTTTGTAATAATTGAAAAGTTCCACTCAGAATGGTGAGCGATTAAAAACGCGAAAATCCTAAAAGTGCCGACTACTGGTACACTTACCCTACTCTCCACCATTTTTAACTAATTTGGCAATTTTCAAAAAATAAAATCCGATAAAAATTCTGTTAAAATCTTAAAAATACCAAATGTAGCCGTCATTAGAGTGTAAACGACCCAAACGCGAAACTTGAAAAAAAAAAAAAATCGGTGAATAATGTCGCTAAAATCAACAAAGTACCGAATATCGGGAGGTATCGTTATACGGGGGTTTAAAAAAGAGGTGGACCTGCACAGACAATTTTCTGTCTTAGGCTGTAATATCCATTTCGAACTTCAAATACCAAATTTGAAACAATTCCGGTGAATAATGTCGCTAAAATCATCAAAATACCCAATATCCCATTTAGCCCATTTTCAATACCAAAAGTGTTGCAGACATAATTTACATTTGAGTAAAATTTTATCAATCTATTCCATTTCGTTCGGAAGCTAGAGTGATTCCACAGACATATAGACGGACAGGCGGACGGACATCGCTAAGTCGACATAGAATTTTATGCTGATGAAGAATATATATACTTTGTGGGGTCTAAAATGTATATTTCGAGGTGTTACAATTCCGTTTGTAACAAACTTAATATACCCTTCATATAATGGTGGAGGATATAATGAAATTGTGTTCGAAGTCTTTATTTTTGTTGCTTTTTATTTACTATATATTTTTTGACATTTCGATTGCAATATTTGAATTTTCTCCCAACGAGTTGACATACTTATATATTTTTAGCCTTTCCTTTTTAGATCGAACGAATGAAATTAATTTTTACCACTGGAGTTGTCTTTATTAAAAGATTTTGTTAATCAGCAGATAAAAACATACTCCTAATATGGTATTACTAGATGAATTAATAAGTTATGGTATTGCCCAATTTTGATTTAAAATGTTTATTAGAACTCTGTCATTTTTATACCCTACAACACTATGTGTTGGGGGTATTATAAGTTTGATTGGGCCAAAAATTATGTAACACCACGAAATATTGGTTTCCCACATAGGAAAGTATATATGGATCATCCTAGCTCGCCGAGCTGAGTCGATCTAGCTATGTATGTCCGTCCGTCCGTCTGTCCGTCTGTCCGTCTGTCCATGTTAATTTGTAATCACTCTACAGGTCGCAATTATGGCCCGATCTTCACGAAATTTAGAATGGAGGTCGGGGATGGGCCAGAATAGAACCCTATTTCTTGTTGAGATGATCGCCAAATGTTTAGGGGTTGAAATGGACCAAATACTGAAAAAATGTCGGTTTTTGCAGTAGCTATACAGGTCGCAATTATAGACCAATCGACGCGGAATTTCGCATGTAGCTAGAGTTTAGGACGGGGAAGAAGCCTACTAATTTGGGTGGTCATCGGATAATATTTAGCGGGTAAAATAGACCATATATTTTGTGTTGAAAAAATTCAAAATTTTTCATTAAACCGCGAATATTTTAAATCCCGGCGAAATCACAAAGCCATGACAGGGTTACTTCTGATCTTTACATTGATGTTAACATCCAACAAACCGGATATATAGCAAAATATGTGCGATATATATGTCTATCAAAGAAGATATGCTTGAAAAATCTCTTATATGTCGAGAACGGCTGAACTGATTTCGACAGTTCTCATTAATTCAGAATGGTCTCTTGGCAGGAAAGAAACAACGTCTAAAAAATCGCATAAAAATATCTCTCTAAAGATGAAAATATTGATTTTGTAAAATTTTCTCATATTTTTTTCAATTTTGTCACATTTTTGGCATATTTTCATTTTGAATTAAACATTTGGTAATATTTCTACAGCTAACAAAACTAAGTAGTTAGGATATCAGGATATCATATACAGATCGCATTTATGGCCCGATCCTTACGAAATTTTGCATGGGGATAAGATGAGGGTCAGAATAGAAGCCTACTCTTTTTGGAGATAATCGCCATATATTTAGGGGTTGAAATGGACCAAAAAACTGCAAAATTGTCAGCAGGTCGTAATTATCGCCCGATCCTCACGCACATTTGAAAGGGGGTTACCGGACATTGCAAAAGCTAAGCAGTTTTGGATGGTCATCCAAAAATATTCAATGTGTGAAATAATTTGCCAACTTTTGTAGACAAAATACGAAAATGTCCATTCCAGAGACTTTTTCGAGAATTCACAAATACAGGAAAGACGCACTTCTGACTATTTCGTTAACGAATATAGTCAAATGTCTGTATCTCATATAGATGCGTTTCAGTCAAAAAGCAATAATAAATGTTAATCTTTTGCCACTTCTAAGAAATTATAGGTCTTTGGGAAATATTGGTTCCAGATCTAGGAAGACCATTTAAGTGCAACATCTACCAATAAATTGGAAATGAGCAAATTAGTTTAAGTTGCTATTATTCGAAAATTAGAGAACGAAACCTGATGGTTTTCTTTTATTATTTGTCACAATATCTTGTGGAATTCTTTCGAGTATCTCGCCAATATAAACTGTAACACTTATTATAGTGTTGTAGGGTATTCAACGGTCGGCCCCGCTCGACTGTAGCCTTTGCTTACTTGTTTTTTTATAAAATTTCCATTAATGCTACTCATGTAAATGCTTATTTAGAGAATATATATTTCTCTCAAACGGTATTATTGTACTTATCCAAATAAAGTAGGTGAAAATGAAACGAACAGTTTGCACAAACATATGTAGCTAGGGTTGTTTGTGATAAAGCCATTATTTTTTTGCAAATCAAACATCAAAACAAAAGCGAAGAGCTTCTCATTACCATTTAACCTAAACACCCACCTGATATTGCAAACATAAAGCACAAATAACCGTTTAAAGAACAATATTTTGCTATTCTCAATCATAGTTTTTTGTTGTTGCTTTTTCTAAAATACCAATTAATCTAAAATCGGTTAAGTTACTATAAAACATAAGGTTCTGGCAATATTCGAAAATAGTTGATTGGAGTTCGACAACGCAGACATATATCGAAAACAGATGCAAACAAAGTTATTTTTAGTAAAATTCCTACAAAATAAAAATGAAGCTCCTTGTTGTTGTGAATATTTTAGTATTTTCAGCAGTGCTAGTGTCTGCTCAGAGAAGTCGTCAGCAGCGTCCACAACGCCAGCGGAGCCGAGAACCCGCACGTCAAGGTCGTACATTGGGTTTAATAAGCCCAGCTCTCAATTTGTTAAATTTCGGTGGTTTGGGCACAAATATACTCGGCTATGATGCACCAATATCACCATTTAGTCGAATTAGACCTATAAGTCCACTGGCTGCGGATCCCTTCTTTGTGCCATACAGACGTCCGTTACCTGTCAAACCATTAGCAGATCCCTATTATGATCTCTATGACAGATACCATGGCTATAACTCGTTTGGATATAAACCTTATTATGGTCTTTTGTCGCAACTAGCAATACGCCGACCTTTGCCATATGGTTTTGACCCGGCGGTAAATTCTTTATACGGCGCTGGGCCAGTGGCAGCGGCATCGGCTCCTCTCAGACCAGCCACAACATCTTCTGCACCGGCAGCGGCGGCAGCAGCTCCAACGTCACCATCAAATTTAAGTCCAGATCAGGCAGCACAAGTTGCCAATCTATTGGGACAACTTTTAGGACAACAACTGCGACCGTTAGTTGGTGGCAGTCCAGCTGCTGACACACCAAGTGATGAAGTCGTATCAGAACCTGAAAACTCAAAACGTTTATATTATTAGTAGCCATTTTATTAATAAGTTGTTATTATTGTTTTCGTAGTTTGTAAGTTGTTAGTAGTTTAAATACAGAAACTTATAAATACAATTTATCGGCTCTTTTTTAATCATTATATCTAAAATCGGGCATTACAAGGTTGGGTTTGACAATATTGCCTTTTAGTTGATACTTAACGAAATACCATATGGCAAGTCCTGTTGGGAAATGTCGCCAGGATCTTCAAAATACCACTAATTGGGCTTAATGGGGGCTTCTCCGATACATAAGAGTAAATCTACTTGCTGAGATTCTTAAAATATGAAATCACGCGAATTTTGGCTAGGTGCTTCAAAACGGATTAATTGCTTCGGTGTCAATTTGGGCCTATAGTAAATTACATTTAACGGAGAGCTTGAATTGAAAGGTTCCAAAGTTCAATATAATGAAAATCAAGAGATATCTTTATACGACGAACCTGTGAACTGCAACTTTCTGCAAGGAAAAAGTACGGTGTTATTTTAGAAACCTGAATACACAATTTTGACCACTTAATTATTTATACCCTTGTTCAACTTATGTGGGTGGGGCCCAGAATGAGTGGATCGATACTTGCCAATCATTTTGGGACATAAAATCTGACATTAATTTCCTACTTTAGGGAAGTTATTACTATTCAGAATTCTGACCTTTTGTAGGCTAGGTGCAGTGTAGTTCTTGTAATATAGAAAAAAAAAAATGTGAAATGTGCATAATTTCGAAGAAAATTGGACATTGGAATTTATGTGTTACGGGAGCTTGAATTATTCAACATTTTTATCTGGCCTAAGTCATATCTAAATATCATGGTCTGCCAAGTTTGAGTTATATCGAAATGAGATTTGCATATTTTGTAAAAATATATATTGAACCATCTCAGACAATCCCATTGAAAGTTATAGTGTACAGCTGACGGCCAGACAGACGGGTATGACTAGATCGACTTCAAATTGATTTTGTCCAAAGAGACCTATGGTCTAAGACCGTTATTTTATTAGACACATTTTCGCCGCATCGATTTAATGATGACCATCCGTCTGTTTGTCGGTTCATCCGTCTATATTCGTACCTCCCTATATTCTGCATTTTGATGATTTTAGCGGCATTATTCATCGGAATTGTTTCAAATTTCGTATATGAAGATCTTAATGGGTACTACAGCTTGCGATAATTTTAACGACATTCACCACAATTATTTGAAATTTCGTATTTGAAGTTCCCAAACAGGTCTAGGTCTTCGTATGACCCCTAAATATCAGTACTTTACTATATTCGGTATTTTGATGATTTTAGAGACATTGTTCACCGGAATCGTTTCAACCTTCGTAACGAGTACTACAGCCTGCCACAGAAAACTGCCTATGCAGGTCCACGTCTTCGTATTTACCCTACAATAACGGTAACTCCCTATATTCGGTATTTTTAAGATTTTAACAGAATTTTTAACAGGTTATATTTTATATATACTAGCTGACCCGGTCCGCGTTGCCAGCCCCTTCTTTTAGTCTTTAATGCATATTTTTTAGAGCATAATAATTTACAGATCTGACTTATGTAAGCGGTACAATTTTTATCCATAGTAATTTCTAAATAGAAATAAATATTCATGGCAAAAATTACACGTGTTTGGGCACCAAATAAACGAAATCGGTCGAAAATATATGTTTGAGCTACAAACAAATCTGAACCGGTTTCAAAAAAAATTTGACAAATTTATTTTCTGATCAAAATCGCATCACCCATTTCAAATTTCATTGGAATCGAACATACATATCTGATGACTGAAACCTCAAAACTAAGTCCAATCAGGAACTACAAACTTTGTTTCCTGCGCCAAAATTACAGCCAAATCGCATTATCTTTTGCGTGATAATAGTACATTTTCAGATATCCCAACTTACTTCGCCATCAAAGGCATTTATCAAATGCATATATGTTCTTCTGTAAATCCCCTTAAATGCTTCGGTATGGCAACGCAAAGGAAAGTCATTGCTTTAAGGAGTGCCCTTGATGGTGCCATTAAAATCCCCGAATGTTCCTTAATAAGTCATGGCATGTTGTGAAATTGCAATGGAAGACTTGCAATTTAAAACAAAAAAAAAAACAAAATCAGACGACTATTTACTTAACAAAATAAATACACGCATTTTCAAAAAACCGTGCAGGTAGAAAGAATTTTGTCCATCAACTGGGATGAGACATTAATTTTAGTTATTTCTTGTGAGTGCAAAAAATAAAACAACTCCCTAATTGCATTTGAGATCAGTCAGTCATTCATTCATTGTTTGGGTTGTCCATTCAGAACCAACCATTCTGTAAACAAAATAAATTATAAACATTGCGATGAAAGTGTCAATAGACGTCACGTCATTGGACAATTTCACAATATTCGACAGCATCCAACGATGTGATCTTGAACTTCAGTGGCACACAAATATGCACATAAATACTAAATAATGATGAACAACGTTATTTTCCAATAAACAGATATATGTTAAAAATTCTGCTTTTTTGTTGTTGGATTTTGAAATTGAAAACATGTTTGTCGTTGAAAAACACTGGACAACACAATGTTAGATGTCTAAATCGAGAAGGACTAACAAATTGGAATTCAATAATAATGACTTTTTCTCAGTTGCAGCATATTCCGAAAAGAATAATAACAAGAAAAAGGGAGCTTTATACCCTCCTCCATTTAGAAGAAACTTGGAAAATTGCAAAAAAAAAAAAAAAATCCGTCGGAAAATAACACTCAAATGAAAACCGCTTTATGGGGGCTATACGAAGACGTGGCCCTGCATAAATAATTTGTGTCATAGGCTGTAGTAACTGTTCCGAACTTTATATACGAAATTTGAAACAATTCTGATGAATAATTTTGCAAAATCATCAAAATAGCGAATATCGGGAGAAACCGTTATATAGAGGATACAATTCCATTTAAAATAAGGGGTGGGGGGTGGTAAACCAAATGAGAATAAATGCCGAAGAAATATTCTGGAGGGTGTTTTAAACCCTTGAGCACGCAAACATTTTGGCCGCAGACCTTGGACATTCCAACAGGACTCAGCATCGTCGCACTCAGAACAAAATGAAGTTCCTCGCTTTATTTCCAGCACACAATGGCCACCAGAATCGCCGGATACCAATCTTTTGGACTATTGCTTCTGGAGTATTTTGGAAAGCAAAGTTGGCACTAAAAAATACCAAAGTGTCGATCACCTCAAGCAAGCGCTTCGCCGGGAATGAGTAAAAATACCGAAGAGCAAAATTCGGGCAGCTTGTGACGGTTTCATTGGCCGTTTCGTAATTCGTGTCAACGTTGACCAATTCGAACAAATCTAAACTTTTTCTAAAATTTGATGCTATTTCCGACGTATTTTGCTTTCATTCAATAAAATTTAAAAAAAAAAAATGTAAAAATTATGTCCCTTGGGTTTTTTGCAGTTTTTTATACCCTCCACCAAAAAGGTATGGAGGGTATATTAAGTTAGTCATTCCGTTTGTAACTCATCGAAATAATCATTTTAGACCCAACAAAGTATATATATTCTTGATCAGCGTAAAATTCTAAGACGATTTAGCCCTGTCCGTCCGTCTGTCCGTCTGTTGTAATCACGCTACAGTCTAAACGAATTAAGATAGGAAGCTTAAACTTTGCACAGATCTCTCTTTTGTCTGCAGGCAGGTCAAGTTCGAAGATGGGCTATATCGGTCCACGATATTGTATAGCCCACATATAACGGGTATCCCGATATTCGGTATTTTGATGATGTTAGCCACATTTTTCAATGGAATTGTCTTAAAATCCACACAAGTTGTTCCTTATGAGTACTTTACCCCCTGAGAGAGAATTGTCTATACAGGTCCACGATATCGTATAACCTCCATATAACGGTACCCCCGATATTCGATATTTTGATGATTTTACCCACATTTTTCATCGGAATTGTCTGAAAATCCACACAAGGAGTTCCTTGTGGGTACTTTATACCTCGGCAGAGAATTATCTATATAGGTTCACAATATCGTATAGCCCCCATATAACTGTACTCCACGGTATTCGGTATTTTGATGATTTTAGCCACATTTTTCAATGGAATTGTCTGAAATTCCACAAAAGGAGTCCCTTTTGGACATTTTACCCATTCAAAAAGAATTGTCTATATAGGACTACGATATCGTATATCCCCCATATAACTGTACCCCCCGATATTCGGTATTTTGATGATGTTAGCCACATTTTTCATCGGAATTGTCTGAAAATCCACACAAGGAGTTCCTTGTGGGTACTTTATACCTCGGCAGAGAATTATCTATAAAGGTCCACGATATCATATAGCCCTCATATAACGGTACCCCCGGTATTCGGTATTTTGATGTTTTTAGCCATATTTTTCAACGGAATGGTCACAAGGGGTTCTTTGTGAGCACTTTACCCCCCGACAGAGAATTCTCTATATAGGTTAACGATAACGTATAGCTCCCATATAACGATACCTCGCGATATTCGGTATTTTGAAAATCCACACAAGGAGTTCCTTGTGAGTACTTTACACGCAGACATAGATTTGTCTTTATAGGTCCACAATATCGTATATCCCCACATATCGGCACCTTCTTATATTAGATATTTTAAAGATTTTAAAAGAATTTTTAATGGATTTTATTTATTTATATTTTCTAATTCGTTCCAAATGGTGGAGGGTATTCAAAGTTCGGCCCGGCCGAACTTACTGCTTTTTTACTTGTTTTATCTCATCTATATCGACTTAGCGATATCCGTCAGTCTTTTTGCATCTGGAAATAACTTCGCCTTCCGAACGAATTGAAGTAGGTTGATAAAATTTTACTCATATGTTTGTTTGGTCTGCAGGACTTTTGGGCATTGAAAACGGGCTATACTGGTCCACGTTTAGCCCCCATAAAAAGCGACATTATTAACGGGGATTATTTCAAATGTCGTAATTGATAATCCTAATAGGTA